TTATTATTCTACACTTTATTTGACTAATTATATTTATAATTTTGATAGAAAATATATTTTTAGTTTTTAAGGAAAAGTTTTACTTTTTTGTTTTATTTTACCATCTTTGATAATTAAAATTTATTTGTATTTATTATAATTTTTTAATTATAAAATTACATGCATTATAAGTTTTTTTTAGAAATTTGGATATGATAACTTATTGTAGCCAGACTAAAACATGTAATCCATTTTATAAGGGAATGAGCAAGTAATATAATTAGTTGAAATGGTAAAATAAAAGTAAAATTTTAAAAGCATAATATGCTTATTGAAAGGAAAACATACTTCCAAAATTATCTATGTAGGTTCTAATCGGTTTCGGATATAATCGGTTTCGGGTTTTATCGGTTTCGGGTATTATCGGTTTCTGATGTAATCGGTTTCGGGTTTAATCGGTTCGGATATTATCGGTTTCGCATCTAATCGGTTTCGGATTTAAATCGGATATGAATTATTTAGTTCGGTTTCGGTTCGATTCGGATCATTTCGGGTTTTCGGTTATAGATCGGATCTTCATTTTTCGGGTCATTTTGGTTTCGGTTTCGGATATTTCGGTTCGGATAATCGGTTCCGGTTCTGTTTTGCCAGCTCTACTCAATACCCATGATCTTACTTGGGCTAAACTGTTATTTCAGTTTATTTTGCTAAATACTCTTGGAGAAATTTTTTTCATCCTATATTTTTTGTTTTACTAGTATATTAACGTGGGACATATTGCATACAAGATCTCATCAAAACTGAATTTCTTCAACACTTTTCCAAAATAATGAGACTGATTGATATCCCACTGTTCCCACATTGCTCCCACATTCAATCCTAATGCCTACGATTACGTCTGCCTCATTCATGGAGAACTTAGGTGACAAACTTGGTAGTTTTATTGACTTTATATAGGTTTGTGCCAATTACCAAAAAGTCATCAACTTATAGATAAATTATGGCTCATTTACGATAGGCATTCAATTTGTTATATGCACATCTATGATCTTGATTCAACATAAAATCATGTTCCAACACAATGTTATCAAACCTTTGATGACACTGACTAGATGCTTGTTTTAAGCCATACAAAGGCATTCCCAATCTACACACTTTACACTTTATGCCAACTACCTGGCATAGTGAAACCTTCTGATTGATTAATATAAATCTCCTCTTTTAGCTTACCATTCAAGAATGTAGTTTTCAGATTTATTTGGTGAATAACATGTTATGTGCGACTCGACAACCAAGGCAATCGGTAACTTAGTCGTAGATGTTCTTGCATTAGGAGCATATATGTAAATGTAGTCAATATTTGTCTTCCATCTAAAGCCTTGGATAACTAATCCATCTTAAACTTATCATTGGTACCAATATGGTCAAATTGTTGCACAGTTTAACAAAAAAAAAATTAAATTGTGATGATTTTTTCAAGGGTACACTTTTTTGTAGGATTTGATCCATTCTAGTTTTTCACTTTCATTCTCTAATCACATTGGTGTTTTAAACATTTACGGAGTATTTGTTTTGCCTAGGGGTAGGCAAGATTCTTGAAACCGTTGTCCCGACTCGAAATATCTCGATCTCGTCCCTGTAATGTTTTCTTCTGATAGGGATGATAGAATTTTGTCCCAAATCCGTTCTGAACTGTTTTAAAATGGGACAAAACCGAGACACACAAATATTTTCCCGTTCTGTCTCATTGTCCCGTTTATATGTATATATCTATAAAAAATAGAAGTAATAAAAAATGTAAATATCTATATATTTATTTATTTACTTATTTATTTATTTATTTATTTATATAATGATATACCACAAAAAATATCATATTTTCCCCCCAAAATAGATATAAAAAAATATCCATATTTAAATATTTAAAAAATGGACTAGGAGCATAACACCTAAAAATCCAGACTGTTCTAACCGACCCACCCGAATTTGTGGCCCATAGTTTTTATGAAACTTATATTCTTGACTTTTGACGTATGTTTTAACGTTTTTTCATGTTTTCTTATTGTTTTGGCCTTTTTAAAATATTTTCAATAAATATATCATTTTTTCATTACTTTGCAAGTCAAAATGGGTTTTCCCCCCTTGTGTTTTATATTTTTATATCTAATTTCGGATAATGAAAAAGTAGGACAACCCAAACCCGTTCTGTTTTATCCCGATCCCGAATCTTAAGGGACAAAGAGGGATAAGCTTTTGGCTTGAACTGTTCTGAACCATTTCAAAAAATAGGACAAGACGAGGGACGGTATAAAACCCGAACCGTCCCGGCCCGTGCCCACCCCTAGTTTTGCCCCCCTAGAAGAACTGCTAATAAATAACTTCATGTTTGCTTCTCTGTTTTTAATACTACCTCCGTCCCATTTTATAACGTCTGTTTGACTTGGTTACGTATCCATCCTGCTAAAGTATTCAATTGTCTTAATCTTATTTTACATTGTAACTTTTGTTAGACTCTTTCTAACTAAGGTTACTCGAAGCGTCCGAGTGTTCATTTTACTCGAAGCGTCAATGAAAAATGAGGTCTAATTTTCAGAATGAGTTAACATTTTACATGTGCGCTTTAAAACCACAATAGCACAAGTGGATGACAAAACTCATAGACAGACATTCATTTTTCCAAACACCGGCAATTGGAACATTTAAAACACAATGCATGAAATTTCAGGACAATTTTTAAATAATCTCCCAAGGTTCTATTACATGAAGTTTATCAGACACAATCAATGTTTCAAAATCATTTAGACGCTAGTAGTCAAATCTGTAATCCACAAATACAACCAACCTACTAGCTTATGATGCTCTGATGATGGTGGTCAGGTGAATGTTTCCTTTGTTTTTTTTCATACATCTCATAACAGATACCTTCACGCTAACACTTTATAGGACTCCATTTTTTTATAGTACTCCATTTTGAAATAAATGCAAGATTTAGATTTTTTGCGTTTGCCAATACATAAGAAAAATCATGAATTTCTTTAATATTACATGAATTTATATTAAGACGAATCTAACAAAAACCCACAAGGCGATTTTTCTTTTATGTATAAATCACCACATAATGAAATGCGAGTGAATATATAGTGTTAAACCATCACTCATTGCATTCTCTAAAGAGAGAGGAAGTATTATAGTGTGTACAAATAATGGTATCCTGATCTCACCTCAAGACACAAGAAGGCAGATTGAGAACCAAAGAATGTAATTTGCAAGAGCGTCATATGGTTTTGATTGAAGATGCAATTTTCTGGAAGTGGATTCATTCACCTGTCTGGGGAAGCTTACATGCAGCTAATTTGTCTTTAGACTTGTATGTGCCAAGCATTTCAGCAACCGTTCTGCAACGGCACTCTTTTCCGGGCCTAATCACGTCCCCATAAACAGCCATCTCTATTATATCCAGCTCCTTATCTGTCCACCGCTCTTAAACTGTGAAAATCATGTGAGGAAACAAACATAAACAGAAAGTGACACATTTAAGCAAATGTCCTGTTTTTTTTCTCCTCCATATTTTCACATGCATCTAATAATCTAGTCAGTTATGGATTACAAGTAACTTTCTCATTCTAATCACATTAATGGACTTCAAATCTCTAGACACGACAATGAACAGCAAATATATGAAGATTGATGAGAAAACTAAATCGTAAATAACGTAGCAAAAGCTGAAGCAGTAAAAGCAATGTATTTCACGAATTGATCCTTTCTCTGGGCTTGAAGGAATACCTTTCTGGAGTACTTAAAGTACTACAGGTGGGCAATTGCGACCCACTTCTTCTGGAGCTTATTTCAAATGGTTAACTGAAGCGCTAGAATTAATCTTTTCTTTACGAGTCACGTGAAGTTGAATATTTGAAAACAAAAGAAAAAATTTTTGCTTTGGGTAATACGGACCAGGTTCTTTAATTAAATTGAAATTCTGAAAAGCGCAAAACATACCCATGTGATTTGTTTAAAGATAGGCTGAGCAGCAAATACCTAAAAAAACTCATCCAATGTTTCTTTCAAAAAGTAATCATCGTAAAGAAGATAAACAGTTAAGTACATGGTAGAACAGCACATACTGATTGGTGCTTGAGAGATGAAATCCAAAACAAGAGAGAGTTGTCGGTTTAAATGTATCATGACCACTATTTCAAACTATAGGTCCTTCACATAAGAGGAATTTCAAAAGATGATAGACAGATGAGGAGCTCAGAGATTTGAGATTTAAATGATACCGAGTACTACTACTAGCTCAGAGGAATATCATTTTGGGTGGCTTTTTTTTTGTATTATGCCATTGCCCGATTGCCGTAAAAGAGGTTATTTTGATTTTAATTAATATTAGGTGATTATACAAACACTAGAATCAGGCTACTCATGAAGGGGGGAAAGGGTGGGGTTGATTTGAAAAACCTAGTTTAACCCTACCCGTTTCTGGTAGAATCATGGGAGCGTGATATACAACATCACATTTTGGAAAACGGAATCACCTATTTCATTTTGGCCAAAATAGAAACACAATAGGTAGCTTCGGTTATTGTGATTCTAAAATCAACAAAAGCACCCCCCACAAATGGGAACGAAACACACCCTTTGTCTTCACTCTTTGGAAAGGACCAAACAGGGCTTAAAACCTTGAAGAATATGATACAAAAAATTCAAAATGAGTAAAGAAGTAAAAGCCACATGACCTCATGGTAAAGATATATCATAAATTGAAAAGTTATACCGGTAAAATTAATGTCACAAGAGTAGCCCTTCAACTGAGCTGGATCAACTTGATCCTTGTCTGACTTGAACCTATTCACTCTAGTTTGTAGTATCTGGCAATTATCCCATGTGGATTCACCACCTGCAACGCAATGGTACTTCTCAAATAATATAATTATCAGGTTGGCAATAGCAAACAACTATGAACTATTAATAAAAGGCGCAAGCTTCTATGCCCTCCTCACTAATAGCCCTCTACAGAAACTCAGAAGGTCTTATCTGACAATGAGCAAGTGAGTAAATAAAATAGGCATTCTCTTGACAGATGGTACCAAAATTCAAAAAGCCCAAAAAGTGTATAAGCCTCGTGAAGGATATGTATGATGAACTAAGCACAGATGTAAGAAGCAGTATAGGAATGACATCATTAATTTCATATTTCTATCCGAAGATAGCAAGGATTATCTTTGTGTCCATCCATTTTTTATAGATGAGACTAGAATGTGTGTTAATGAGAAGTTAGAAATGTGGAGGAGAACTTAAGAGTCTAAAGGCTTGAGAATCAATACAAGTAAAATGGAATATATGGAATGCACATGTAGTAATGATATTAACAATCATCAGAGTTTTGTGTCTCTAAAAGATCAAAATATCTCGGTCAATGATCACATTTAGATATTTGGATTCGATTGTACTCTCCTTTTGATTGTTTAATAGTACCCACTTCTGCCTTTCATATTTGAGGCAAAGGCCTTTCAGAAACAAACTCTCTACTCTTTATAGGTTAGGGGTAAGGTGTGTGTACACCCACCCGTGGGATTTTCAATAAGTTTGTTGTTGATTCTAGAGTAATTTCCATAAATGGTCCCTAATTACAAGTGGTTTTCAATGTTTAGTCCCCAATTCTAAGATATTACATAAATGGTCATCGGTTTTTGAAAACAATTTCATAAATAGTCCTTTAGGTCAAATATGACATTATTTTTTCCATATATAGTTCCTGAAGGACCAAATATGGAATAATTTTCAAAAGTTGAAGACCATTTATGTGATATCTTAAAATTGGGGACTAAATATGGAAGATCAACTGTAATTAAAGACCATTTATGGAATTTACTCTTAATTCTATTACACAAAATAATGAAGTTTTGGATGGAGATGTGAACATTGAGAAAAGGCAAGTTGGTTGAAATTGAAGTGTGCAACTACAGTTTTTTGTAGTTGTAATATACCTTTGAAGGCTTGAAGCTAAAGGGAAAATTATACAAAAATAATTCAACTAGCACATTAGATGCTACATGGTACATGATGTTGGGATGCCAAAGGGTGCCATGTTATGAACATAAAGGTAACTAAAATGTGTATTTTACAATGGATGTGTGGACACACTAGAATGGATAAAATAAGAAATAAAGTCATCCTGAACAAGGTAGAAGTGACAACTAAATGAACTAATTGAGAGAAAAGTAGAAAACCGATTACAGTGGTTTGGACACATACAAGGCATAGTGATGCACTGATTAAAAGACTTGAGGGGTGAACATATGAATTTTGAAAAGAAGCAAGGGGAGACCCAAAAAGACATAGGAGATTATTACCTAAGTTCCACAGAGAAGAGAACGAGTACTCAAATGGGGGGGGGTCACAAACAGGGAAACACCAATTTTCCAAAATTTACAAAGAAATTGGGTGCGGGGACGTCCTCAAGTTCTGAAACAGGAGTGCTTCAAGGCCAGGAAGCGACAACATAGCTTTGTACGAGTGATTTTCTTATTTGAATGTGGACAACGGTATGGCAATGGATGGAAAGAATTGGCAAGAAAACATTCCCCTGAACGAACGTGATTTTTCTCTTCGTTCATGTAACCGAACCAAAGTTATTTGGGATATAAGGCTTAGTTGTTATTGTGACATTGAACAATAGTTCATAACTACATTTCTCATCAACTTAACCAGAAGATGTGAAGATGCTATCGATAGATTAATTCCTCTCTGAAATGAGATGGTAGTAATCACAAAGTGTAAAATCCTACATTATAGTGTGTGAAATAGATGACTTCATCATATTCTTCATCAAATTGACACTAAACTTTCCTTGATCCCTACTTTCTATGAAGATTTGGGCAGTAAATGCATCAATACATCAAGGCTCTAACAAAAATACCTTCTCTATTTTTAAAAGGGGTAATGTTTTGTGCATGTTGCCCACGAGACCATACGAGGGTTGAGATTATCATGGGCTTGCTATTGTTGCAATCATATGAGATAGTGTGAGTAGTGCATCATTTCTTCCAACACAAATGATGAACGAAACAACCAAATGCACATAAGTTATATTTTGAACTTCCACTTTCCGGATTTTGCTCTCCACTTTCCAAAATATTTCATACTTAGGGAGTAAGCCTAAAACATGAAATAAGCTCGTTTATTGAGTTTGTGATTCAATAACGTCAAAAATCCTAATGATTTATAGAGGGCAATTTAGATAACCCATCATATTTTTTACTAAGCGAAAACTAGTTCGATATGTACAAAAATGGGAAAGTGTACAGCTAAATTTGAATGGAGTAAGAAGTTTAACAGGATCCATCATCTTTTCATTGATAAAAAGAAGTGTTAAATACAAGTAGCACATTGGAATCAGTAGTAGATCCACATGTTTAACTGATTACACAGCTAATTTCACTTAGATATCAAGGGCACTCCTTTTTCAGCCGAGCTCAATTTTTGAAAGAGTGATAACTGATATGCATACAGGCACACTAGTTGGCATATTAAGACAGTTACTTGGCACTCCCATTATTGCCATATAAAGATTAGAAAACACTCGGACACAAAATCGGAGAACATTTAAACCTCAAGGAATGAATAATACGGAGTACTAATCGGAAGAAGAAGGGGAAAACCTTTGGAAAAGGGAACGATGTGATCATACTCAAAGCAGAGGCAGCCTTGACAGTTACAGAAGCGCTTGCAAACAATGTTTCCGGCGGCGTCTTTGCGCCACCTCTCTGGATGACGGCCGGGCACAATATCAGCCTTTGCCCAGCAGAGATTCTTGGCCATTGTATCGAAGAACCTGGGTCTTTCGCCGCTGCGAGAACGGTGCGGCGAGGAAGCCGAGGAACTCATTTCCCCTCGTTGGGGATAGTTTACCGATTACAAACTCGGACTAGACTGTACCCGTGGAAGTGGAATATCTTTCAATATTTTAAATACGAATTTTATGGCCAACCTGTGCTCTCATGTCTATCCTCAAATTCCCTCAAACTAAAAAATCAGTGGCAAGTGGCAACATTACCTACAAGTATTCTAGAATTTTTTTAAAATTTAAAATAAGTTAAACAACTAATGCTACAATTTTGATACAAAATTTGCATGTAAAGGTTTGCCTTATCACATCCTACCCACGTAGGTGGGGTGGATTTGCTTTGTGGTTTGGAAGCCATGAAGTTTACCGGTGCAGTTGGTTCGTCCTCTCTTAGAATGTCTTTATGCATTTAAAAAAATTTACCCTCTATACATTCACTCTCATTTTCAAAAGTAAAACACACGAACATAAATCATCATCTTTCTTTTCTCTCTTCTTTTTAAAAAAACCTTCAACTGTCTCCCTTATTTTTTTAATTTTTATCATGAATCTATTCGGTTCTCCATCCGATCTTGAGCCTAATGAATACGCGATGTGACTTTACCAAATGTACGGGAATAATCTGACTTTTTTCGAAGCTCAAACCTCGGTGAATCTAGGAGACCCAGAGTCATCCTGGAAATTCAATCGGAACCAAGTGCAACTAAAAAATTGCATGCCGGAAGAGTCACAAGCCGCAATCTAGGACTGAAAAACTGGTGACCGAGGCGACACGGTCAATTCAAAAATGGACGCCAGAATAAGAAGTTTTGTTGGCGTCTGCGTGGCTCGACGTCTCAAAACATTCTATCGTTGGTAAATTTAATATGTTTTTATATATATTTTATACATGTTCTTTTTTATGTATTTGTGTTGAATTATATACATTTTTAAATTATATATTGTTCAAGGGTTCTGATCAAATGAGGCATGTGATGTGGGAATGCCTCAATCAATAAGAAACCCTCCTACCGAAGCCGAGACCAACTCAATTCCAAATGAGGAGACATAAACAAAAAAGATTAAAAAACTATTGGAGTGTACAAAGAATGCTCTTGATGCAGGAAGAGCGGGACTGTAATGATGGAGTCTAACGCACCATCATCACTCCCCTGCCACGTGTCACCATCCCCTCTGTCCGTGTTATGGCTCGGCGTGGGGACCGAAGCTATTTCTCCTATATAAAGGATCTCCTCCTCAATCCCTTTTCATTTTTTTGCTTTCCTCCATCCAGAGCACTGTCTGGTCATCTCTCTCGACTTGAGTCCTCCGAGCATTTTTTCGGCCATCCAAGGAAGTCCTCCCAATCTTTTCTCTCATTTTCTCATTATTCCTCTTCCCGGTCATGTCTTCAACCGGTAGTGAGAATCTGTTGGTCCATTCGTATGGATCAAACGAGTCCGTCTCCCTATCATCTTCTGTTCCTTCTTCTTCACCTCCCAAGACACCAAAAGGCCCGAGTGACATGGCCATTCCTGACCCCGAGCCTCTAAATCAGGCACCGGGTCCCTTTGACTCGGAAAACGAAACCCGAGAGGAATGGGAGCACCAGTTGTGGGAGGCTGGTTATTTCCCTCTTTCATCTAATTATGTCAAGGGTTTCCGCCCCACCACATCGAGAGTCACCTTTAACAAGGTGCGACAACTCCTCCCTGACGATTATGTCCTTCATTATGACCCGCAGTGGCCAAACATCGTTGCCCCCCACTGGAGAACCCGGGTGCGTTTCCATATCAAGTCATTGGAGGGGGGAAATCGTCTTTCCCCTCCGTTCTCTCTTATTCAAGGTTTGCCACGCATTCTCCATTCTTCCAAGTCAGATAACTCTCAACCCCCATCGCTTGCTTAATTTTTTTTCAACATATGTCAATCACTCGGCATAAACCCCTCCCTTCGTCTATTCGTATACCTGTTTCAGATCCTTCCCAGGAAGACCGAGTAAGAGGGGTTTGTTTATTGGGATGAAAGTTAGCTTCTTTTTATTTCCCAGGGGAAGATTCCCCCCTAGTCGGTCTTCACTGGAGTGACCATCTCCTGAATTTTGATTACGCCCTACCAGCTAATTCCCTTGACTTAGAGTAGGCCTTAGAGAAGCTTCTCAATGGTGACCCGGATACTGGAGGGAAATTTCATTTCGGCAGTTGGTTCTGCCACGTCACCCAGGGTGCGGAGGATACCTCCAGGGCCCGTGAAGTAGAGGGGTGCGGGGGTACCTCCCCCGGGCAACAATGCTGAAGCCGGGTGCTTGCCTCACCCATGTTTTTCTTTCACCAGTTTTCTTTAGTTAATGACCTTTTCATTGATCTTCTGTAATTTGACCGGTTGGTTTTCCTTTTGCAGATATGGAGTTCAACACTTACGCCATGCTTTCGAAGAAGGCAGTCGGCAAGACCGATCCCAGTAGCTCCAAGCCTACCTCCACCCCTTCCTGGGAGGAAAATGTCAAGGCCTCTTTCCGGGAGAGCCCCTTTCAGCAAGAAACAATCAAGTCCTCTCTGAGGAGGAGAAGCGACCCTCCCCGGGGAAGCGGGTCAAGTCTCCGGGGCAAGTAACTTTATTATTAAACATCGGATAGGCCATGCCCAGTAATACATTTACTTGTAAAATTTCCTTGGGTGATTTGAGTTCCGGCTCCTTTCGATCGTTCCTCTTTCCAGCATCTCAAACTTATAGATTCCCGGATGTACCACCGCGCCCGATATGGTCTCTCCCAATACTTCTCCAGCTTGCCCCCGTCGCCTGGCCTGCTAGCCTCCCTATGTCGGAGATCCACCTCAACGATCTAGAAGTATTAGGGACCGATTAGTAGTTTACCTCCCTGAAGGTCAGGAAATCTACCTCAATGGGCATCCTCGCTTTGCGCTCGTATGTTAGGGAGAAGGGTGTCTCTCCAGTTGCCTGCATGGATGTGACGCAATATGCCGACACGATGTGCGGGAGCTCCTCAAGCCATTTGTGACCAGCCTCCCCCAATCTCTTCTTCACGTCATCCACTATTATCCTGATTGTATTTTCCACCTGACCATTGCCTTGGGGGTAAACAGCCAAAGAGCGCTTATGCTTGATACCAAAGTTCTCCAAATATTTGGTGAACTTTGGGTTTTTGAATTGCAGGCCGTTGTCAATTATTAAGCTCTTCGGTGCCCCAAATCTTGTGATGATGTTCTTTCATACAAACTTATTGCATTGTTGCACACTAATGCTTGCTAGTGCTTCAGCCTCCACCCCCTTGGTGAAGTAGTCAATCACCACAATCATGAACTTCTTCCTCCTTTGGGCTATCAAAAAGGCTCCTATGATATCCACCCTAAATCGAGCGAAGGGGATGACATTTGGCATAGTAGGTGGCCAACCTACTGGGGTGCTCGTAGAACACACTTCTGCACATACTTCTCGTAGTCCTGGATGATGGTTGCCCAATAGTACCCAAGCAAGATTATTCGTTAGGAGAGGGTATAGGACATTTGATGCGCCGCGCAAACCCCCTTATGCACTTTAACAATGACTCTTTCAGCCTCACGGTTAGTGAGACATCTCAGGAGAGGTCCTCTAAATGCTCTCTTATACAACATACCATCGATGACCTGAAATCGGGGTGCTCTAAGCTTCACCTTCCTGGCCTGGTCTTCATGCTATGGTGGCTACCCAGTCAACAAATATTTCGGTAGGTCAACCATCCAGTAATCATCTACCCCGACCATGCTGGAACCCACCCGGTCAACTTCCTAGGGTCTGCGTATCATGGTCACTTCTAGTTTATCTATGTTTGCCTGGTCATGGACCTCCACCTTAGCCAGTTTTGAAACATGTTCTAGAGCCGACTGCATCCATTTTGAAAGGAGATCAGTGCCGGCATTTTCCGCCTGAGGTATCCTGGTCATCTTGAATTCAATGAATCCTCTCAGCAAGGCCAGTGCCAAGACCTTATACTGTGTCATTCGTCCCTCTCTAGCCTCTTCGTATCACTAGAGAGAGAGCCTGGGAGGTGACGGTAAGCACTGCCACTTCTTCAATGAAGGCCTGCCCCGGGATGGAGTTGGTGGTGGTGTTATGCTGGCTAGTTGACATGGTGGCTTTGTTTTGTTTTCGTGAGTGAATTTCCTCTAAACAGAAAAAGAAAATCCTAATGGTCCCCTGGTGTTACCAAAAATGATGGTGTAAATTACCACCTGGGCAAACTACTCTAGACCGGGTCTAGGGTGATTTTCTAAGTATAGAGATTGAAAGGGCAGAGTAAACAAAAGTTGACGGGGAGGATTGTAGGTGGTAACACTTGCAGTTCAATTGTTATTAAGTATGGGAAGAGTACAGGGAGATATTACACAATATGTGTATAGAGAGATGAAATTTTATCTCCATCTTCTACTAAAGATTACAAGCCTATTTTTTGGAAAGCTAGGTGTCAAGTTGGCCACCGCCCATGCCCAACCACGTGACTGAATACTCGATCTGACATTGTTTGTCTCGTTTCTCCCTGGCCGCTTTTCTCTGCAACTGTCTTTCTTGGGGCATAGTGTTTGACTGGATAAGTTGGATACACCCGTTGGTGGAGAGGAATCTGGTCTGACCACGTCGTTTCGAAATCGTTGTTGGAATGCATGACTTCACTATTTGATAACTCACAAACACAAGTTATTCAAGTCAAGAATAAAGTGCTACATTGACAAACACAAAAGACTTGAAGTGCCAAATCCCTTGAAGTATTCAAGAAGGAGCACAAGATCTAATGAAGTCAAAACGCCTAACGTAGTGCCTAATGGAAGTGAAGAAGAAGTTTTTTGAAGACTTTTAATTTATTTGAGTCTAAGGAAATATCGTAAAGATGACAAATATTCTTTACTCCAAATTTATTTTTACATCGGTGTGTTCTTTGTCTTCTCTCTTTTATTTCCGCTGCACTTTTTTTTATTTTATATTACTGTGAAAATTGTTGGTATACATTCTCAACAACTCTATTTGCCCCCCCCCCTCTAGAGTTGCACGCATTGTCTAACAATCGCTACCTTCCAATATGTTGAGCTTTCATGATGGGTGACAGTGCACTCGGGTTGTTTCTGGGTGGGTTGTCTCATTTCCTCACCAACTCTTAGTAATGAGAAATTACCAGGTCGATGGGCTGTCTAAATTCCTTAACAACTCTTACCAGACGTCGAGATGAAGAAGTTGGCAAAAAAGGCGATGACGTCGGCGTCGACGAAGATGGAGAGGTGAGGAGTCAGACAATGGAGATATAAAGGAAGAAGGTGTCGGCGACAACAACGAAGAAAGGTGAAGAAGAAATAGATCGAACCAAATTCACGGTGAAATTTGACCGATGAGGAAAGAAATTCATTCCCAGTGAGATCCATCTCAATGAATGAAGATGGCTTTAATCTCATCAATTGTTTCAAAACTTAACTTTTTACAATTGGGGGGGGGGGGAGGTATTTTAGACTTTTCCTTATCTCACTCGGTATTTGTGCCAAATAGAAATCAGAGAAAAAGAGTGGGACGGAGGGAGTATTTATAGAATCATGCTAGAAACACATCGGATTTGACACCATATATTTCGCAGACACACATAATCAGTCATTGTATGTCACGCGCCTAAAGTCACTATTTGTGCATGTGTAAAATATTATTTGTGCATGTCTGTAAAATATTTGATGTCAAACTTCATGAGCTTCTAGCATTTATTATATTTATAATTTATAAGGTTCTTGACTCTTGTCATTATGAATCGAGTGATTTGAGTCCACCATTGGAACTTGGAAGAAAGCCTTCCCCTAGCAATCCGAGCTTTAAACAAAAATGATTCAGAAAAATACCCAAAAAAAGGAAGAAATCAATGTATGGTTGCTTTGAATTCTTAAAGACTCATTGGTAAGCAATTGATGTTGCTATTCTGGTGTGTCTATTCACCGGTATATCTCGGTGTTCTTCGCTCGGCAAATGCTGCAAGCCCTTCTAGCCGATCTTTTGTGGTCAAGAGTTGACCATAGCAATCCTCCTCCAAAGCCAAAGCTGACTCCATATCTAACTCATATCCTTCGTCGATAGCATGTTTTGCCATTTTTAATGCAAGTGGTCCCTGTAACAGGAGACATTACGGTACGTGCATACAAGTTAATCCGTGCAAATATGCAAGTTAAGGCATGCCTATATCACACCCTTATGGTGGTACACTTCTCCAGGTCCTCCCTAAGCGGGAATGTTTTATGCACCAAGCTACCTTTTTTAAAAATACTTTGTACAAGGTAACCCCTGGTACGCACTATTTTTTGTCCTGCTCGAACATCAATTATAGTTTTCAACTCTATAGGAATAATAGTACATGCCCAGTGCTCAAAAACAACTGGGCCTAGTAAGCAGAACCAAATGCCAGAAGATGTATACAACCTGTGCTGTGGTAGAACTGTAGAAGTAAAATTTTAAGTTTGAAAAGGATAGAGGAGCAATAGAGTGATGATTAGAAATCACACTTGTACACAGCGTTTGTTCTATGTATCAAAACTCGATGATTTTGCTTGTTGAATGTAGACAAGTTGGTGAGAAAGAGTCCCAAGGGATAAACACATTCGACAAAACAATGCAATTCAAACCTTCTGATTTATATCACGTGCAATTTCAAGTGCCTTTAGACGAGCTTCGCCAGCAGGAACACAATAATTGACGAGCCCTGAATAAAACAGTTTTTTATTAATACTGGGAATCTTGGAACAATACAAAAAACACCAGCAATTCTAGTTTATGACATACCCATTGATAAGGCTTCTTTTCCATTAATCTTTCGGGCAGTATATATCAGATCTTTTGCATTTGATTTTCCAACCAATCTAGGAAGCCGTTGTGACCCACCAGCTCTGTAAAAGACCGGTTTAAAGATATGGCTTAGCAAGATGTCTTTCAGCTCTAAGCATTTCATATTTTAAAACATTGAACATCCAGGCCCAAGTGTCCCATTTGTCCAAAACAGCTCAGAACACCACTGATAAATCAGAAGCAGATTCAAGAACTCAATGAACTGGTCATACACAGAACTAAGTGCAGGGGTTGCACATTACAATAGAGCTAAAAGAGTCATTATTGACAATTTATTAGGTCTGGGAAAATAATGGACTATATCAAAACGGTGCATTAAACTTTCCTTCTTACCTTTGATGAAGCTTTGGGCATTAAATGCAGCAATGAATCAAGAGTCTAACAGAAACAGTCTCTCTTGTTTACACAGGTTACTGCATATATCTTAACCTCTGAAACCCCAACAAAGTTGGGATTACAGGGTTTGTTCTTTTACATTATGACAATATCACTTGAGACATACCCGGGTATGATTGCAAGCCCGGTTTCTGGCAAGCCCAAAACAGAACCCTCCCCTTGTAACATTTAAGGAAAAAAAACTTCAGAAAGGAAGCGATGATAGCTGATCTGCATGAGTCAAAAATCATAATAATAATTTACCACAAATGCGAAGATCACAACATAACGCCATTTCCAGTCCACCGCCCAAGGCTGCACCATCAATAGCAGCAATTGTAGGAATACGAAGTGCCTAGATAGAGAGAGATGAAAATGTACACAGATAATAGAAGTTAGAAATTTAAAAAAAAAATTGCAGGGTTTCACCCTTAAATATCCAATAAACAAATGGACAGTAATCCAGCAAATTATTACATGAAAAAATAACTGCAGTCAACTTCAGATGCTAATTTATAAAGAATCATCAATAATTAGTAAGAAAAGGTATCTTTACAAACAGACCTCGAGGCTAGAGAATGTTTTCCGAAGAGTGTTCACAAACTCCATGACCTCTAATGGAGCCATTGTCCGTCTCTCCTATAGACATGATACGCATTGAACCATTTACTTACTATTAAGCCGTGAATAGAAACTATGATTTGATAAATGTGTGGTAATATCGTAGCTTGGTGATCTAATTTGCAGCTAACATAAGGCAAGAGAGTGAGGTAGCTCTCATTCCCTAAAAGACATCTGTTAGCCTAAATTAATAATAGAAACATAGGACATTTCAAAACTAATAACAAGAAATAGATTAGAGTTCCAAAACTAAATGCAATTGAAAAACTTGAGGGTGATGCAATTGAAGGCCCACGAACAGGTTTACGTCAAAATCACTGTTTGCATTGATTAATCATCTCTACACATGTATAGTAATACAAAATAGCTGGATGTGATATCCATCCTTGAAAACAAATTTGTTAATGAAAGATTAGATGGATTTTATTAAATGGATTGGAGCCAAAGATTCACTATTTTTGGGCTTTGGAGTATGATGGAATAAAGCAAAATGAATCTTTAAACTGTTGCGCTACTTTTAACAGTTAAGTTTCGACGTTCATCATGGCCTCATGGTTAATCTGAAAACAGCCGCTCTATGTCTTAAACATAGGGCTCGGGCTCCATACGTGATTACCTGTGGTGCTTGAGCCGAAGGTCTCTTTGGAAACAGCCTCTCTAGTCTCTACTTTCGAGTCGGGGTAAGGTCTACGTACACACACCCTCCACAGACCCTAATATTGTGGGATTTAACTGGGTTGTTGTTGTTCTTGTATCGGTTTTTTAATATCATTTGTAATGGAACATAAAGGGATTACTTAATTGTTTTAGAATCTACAAACAACAACAACAACAAAAAGCCCAAAATATATCCCATAAGTGGGGTCTGGGGAGGAGAGATGTACGCAGATCTTACCCCTTCCCAAAAGTAGAACGGTTGTTTTCAAAAGACCCCCAACTTAGAAAACAAACATGAAAGGAAAAATGAAAAGGAGATGGTCGTCAATGGGGTAAGTAGCAGATGACACAAAAGGACGAAACAAGGGAACACTTGTAACAAACAGCACAAGCCACATAGCAAACACCGTAAAACGAAAAGCCTAATAAACCTTGAAGGCCCTACACAAAGGCAAGTGCGCTCCTATCAAGGCTTACCCCACAACTCTTATACTCAACCTCCAAAGGCCCTTATCTACAATCATGCCCACAGAAAACTGCAGAAAGCTCGAGTCCTGCGTAAACAACTCACTCCAACTCTTATTACATCTCCCTAAATCCCTTTGCATTTTTTTCACTGCTAACCTCTCGCAACTCCTCACCAGGACATCCACACCTCTCCTTTTACACGTGTCCAAACACCCCAATCTAGCTTCATGCACCTTACCCTCCAAAAAAGTCACACTCACATCAGCTCGGTTATCTTCATTTTGAATCCTCTCTCTGAGTGACTGAGTACATCAGCTAATCCACCTTAGTATCTTCATCTCATCCATCTGCAACTTTTGCGTGTGGGTGTTTTTCACTTGCCAACACTATGCCACATACAACACCGCCGGCCTAATCACTGCTCAATAAAACATGTGTTTCAGTTTCATTGGTTTTTTTCTATCGCAAAAGACACCTGATGCTAGCCTCTGTCTCATCCAGCCCACTCCAATAAGGTGAGTGACATCTCATTGATCTCACCATCAATGATTGATCCAAAGTGCCATAATCTATCCTTTTTAGGCCTGGGTTGAGAGCCAATATTCACTTCCACATCCGACTCATTTTGTGTTTTGCTGGACTTGCATTCCATGTACTCAAGGTACTCAAACTCGCAAGTTGACTCAAGAGTCATGCAGTTCCACACTCCAAAAATGGATCTGCAATTCAGATTGTAAGAAGAATCACAATTTCGGTGAAATTGCTAGGGACACCATTCAGGATCGCTGAATCAGTAGGTTCGGTCCAGCTCGTGCGATTCAGAAGATTGAATTACTGTGAAAAGAAAGTTGGGAATTCGAAAAGTCATGACTCTTCCTTTTTTCGAACTGCATCTCTACAGCTTCTTACGCACCAGTATTAATAATCATCTGGCTTCTACCTTCCACTCCTGCAACAACCTGCAAAATCATCCACATTTCTGTTTCTACAAGCCTTCAAAAATACTCCCAAATTCTTCCAAAGCTCCATCAAGGGTGTCTGCAACATGAAAAAAATACTCTAGATTGGTCTCTGTACACATATATATTTCTGTGCTACATCTGAATATTCCAGACTTCCTGCTTCTTTCTTCACTGTACACTGTTTTTGAATGTAATCAAAATTAAATGGCACTGTCCCCAAAATTTATTTCACGGTTTGACACGGAGTTTAAGACAACATGTTAAATAGTAAAAAGCATGGTTTAAATCTGTTTGCAAGAGAGAGTGGTTAGCAACCACATATTCCATTTCTTGAACAGGAAAGAGGGGAAGTACAGATCTTGTTTTGGAAAATTTAGTTTGGGGACGGATGGAGTATATGAATACATATATGTAGGATCTTACTATCCATGTCACAATCCTTTGATTTACAATCTTTTATTCCTATTCCAATCCTATGAAGAATCTCGAGTTTGACTACTACTCAATCTTAGCCTCGCTCCCAGACCTTAAGGAAGTTGTTTGGTGTATGGCTGAGCAATTTGAAACCCCTAGAGTTATTGCAATTTTGGATATCGTCTTTACCCTTGTACAGCAATATTACCATGTTCCCCCTCCCCTGCACAGGCATCTTAGCTGTTATAAAAATCACATTAAACAACACATTAAACAACTCCATTAACCACATCATCGCCACTCTTCCAACAGACTTCCATAACTCAATAGGGATTCTTCTGGTGTGACTGCCCTCCCCCTCTTCATCTCTCTAATAGCCACCTCCACTTCACTCTATTTAAAACACCTAGAATACATGAAATCCCAGTGACTATCAGAACACCGTTACACACCCAACTCGATGTCAACATCCCCTCTTGCAGGCAAAAGTCTATGGAAGTATGCCTACCATCTATGTTTAATGGTTCCCGCCTTCTTCAGCACCTTCCCATTCTCATCCTTTATACGTCTCACTTGGTCGAGATCACGTGTCTTCCGCTTTCTCGCTTTAGCCAATCAAAACAAGCACATCTCTTATCCTCTCTTGCTTACGTCCTTATACAACTATACGAATGCTGAAGTCTTCATCATTGTAACTGCCAATTTAACTTCCCCCCTTGTAGTCTTATACTCTCTTGTTTTGCCCATCTCTCCTCCTCATGAGTCATCACTAGCTACTTCCTACCAGAGACTTGTAGGCTTCCTTCCTGGTTTCCGCTTTACCTCAGACTACGTCGCTCCACCACCAGTCCCTACTATGACTATATGAGTCAACACCTTTGCAACCTCTGTAATAAGGTTAGCAGTCTTAGACCACATGGTGTTTTACATCCAAAAATTATAAATAAAACTCACTAAACCCAACATTTTGCCACGCTTAAGATTAACATTCTATTACGGGTCGTAAGTCCATCTGGCACATATTTAATCATCTTTTTGTGATTGCAAGAACAAACATTTCATGAAAATGCATGGAGTTTAGTTTCTGAAACATGTAATTAGTAGCAAAAAATACAAGCTACTACAGTTTCACCCCCGATCTCATAATATAAGAAAAAAAGTATCATACAAGAGTGCCAAACATGCAGCAGTTACTAGCATGTAATACTCACTGTCCCACTATTTTTGAAACAGAGAGTAATCGAACAGAAGTTAATAAAAGTGGAATTGTCTTGTTAATACTCATGTCAAAAAACAACAAAAGGTAAGAATGAATGTGAGCCAAACAAATATTGCAAAATATTGCATGAGATAAAAAATAGTGGAACGAACAAAAAATGTAAAAAGGGACAAAAATAGTGGGACGGAGGGAGTTTGAAACTGAAAATAATTATGTACAAAATGCAACAACAAAAACCGATCCAGTAGAATCCCACAAATGGGAAGCAGGGGTGGGTGTTTGCAAACTTTACCCCTACCTAGAAAAGGAAGAAAAATCATTTTCTAATGATCCTGCTTCAACCACATAAAGACAAAAGACAAATGTTAGCACAATCCACAAATAAGGGGACACCTTGAGAAATCATAAACCAAAGCAAAAAAGGTAAATCATGCAGACCTGTGACTATATCTAACTAAACTTCACAGCCGTAGACACAACAATAACCACCACAACCTAGGCGGACCCTACAACTAATCCTCAATGGAAAAATGAACGGGTCATGTTCTTGGGGAGCTCCTTAAGGTGCAGGCCCTGTCTTATTACTTGCCTCAACTCTTCTTTGGTCTACCTCCATCCCTATCTTAGCCTCTTGCACATCCCCATTGGAGCGTCAGTATTCCTCACCGTGTGCTCTAATTATCTCTCTAGATTTGTGCATCTTATTATCCACATATATCACTACCACCTTGTCCCGGATAAACACATTCCCAGCTTTATCCATCCCCGTATGACCACATATCCACCTCAACCCTCTCAAACATATAGGTCAAACTCTCTCCACATGTGTGCTCTTCATCGGCCAACTCTACCGTATACGATATAGCCAGTCTAATATAGCTTGATAAAACTTGCCTTTCAAATTTTTTGGCATACTCTTTTGCACAAAACACCTGAAAAGAGCCTTCATTTGATCCAGCCTGTTCCGATAAGATGGACAACATCCTATCAATATCAGCATTAGAAAAAGACTAAAATAGTGGATACAAGGAGCCTCTTCGATAAAACTCCATAGTTTATACTATGGCATAGATACTAACATGTAAATTAAGAAAAATACAAATAAAACATAACTAATTTTCAAAGCACAAAACTATGTTAAAATAATTCAATTAAATTCAAGTTATATATTGACCACATAAATACTAAATACTCCCTCCATCCGGGAATGATGTTCCCACTTTGAATTTTCCTCATTCTTAAGAGGCATTGACTAATGGCTTGAAAGGACTAAAATGCCCTTGCACTTTGAGGCTCACCACAGCCCACCTCCCACAACCACCCCACTGCCAGCCTGCCCACCTCCAGTGACACCCACCGCCGTCAGCCCCACCTCCCACCACCGCCGCCAGCCCACCACCACCCCACCTCCCACCGCCGCCGTGAGTCCCATCATCTCCGTCAGCCCCCACCTCCATCTCCCACAGCCGCAAGCAACGCCGGAGAGAGAGAAAAGGGAAAGAAAGAAAAAAGTGGAGGAAAGACGAGGAGGATCTTCGTCGAAGATAAAAGCACAGATCTACCACGACCACCGCCGTCTACCCAACCATTGCCGCCACAGTCCCATCATAGCCGTCACCATGGCACAAATCTAAAAGAAAGAATAAGGGGAAAGAAAAGGAGAAGTGCAGATCTAGACTCACCATCACAGCTACCGCCGCCGTCACCATCGCCGACACCGCCGCCGTCACCATCGCCACCGCCACCGTTATACACAGATCTAGAAGAAAGGTGGAGGAGAAAGAAGAAGGGGGATAAAGAAGAAGAAAGAAAACGGGGGAGAAAGAGAAGTGAAAGAGGAAGAGGAGGAGAGAAGAGAAGGAGGTAGAAGAGGGGGAAGGTGACGGGTTGGGAAAGAAAGAAGGAAAGAAAGGAAGAAAGGAAGGGAAAAAAAGTGGCGGAAGAAGGAAAGAAAGGAAGGAAAAAATGAAAGGAAGAAAAGAAGAAAGGAAGGAAGATGAGGGTAATTTTGGAAGAATAGAGAAAAAAAGGTAGAATAGGAACATCATTTTCGGACGAAAAAAAAGAGTAGAATGGGAACATCATTCCCGGACGGAGGGAGTAAATGAAAATCATAAAAAGATTGTTGAAATGGGTTACTGAAAATACCAAGTTAATAAATGGAGAAATATTGTCTAATTGGAACTAAACAAACTCGCCCTGACTTAGAATCAGCACCCGTAGTGCAAAAAAACATAAAACATAGACTCCGCACACCTTCGCCCCTCGTGCAAATAAATATAAGACTGATGATAGAATTTAGGATGGGGTAGGGATCACTAGACTGAGTCATAAGATACTTGAGTTGAACCACATTAAAAAATTGAATCCAATCGATTACTTAGTTCAACTCAAGAGCTTATGTACCGATTTATTTTCTCTTCAAGTTCCGATGTGGAATACTTTTCAACACTCACCCTCAAGTGGACCACCGGGCCACTTTGAATCTAACCGGTTGACCACTTGCAAATGGACTCTCATCCCCTTGATTTTTTTTAGCGCCAACACCTAAAGGACCACGAGCAGTATGGTCTTCCAGACGAGCAATTGAGTTAAACAAGTCAAAAGCCGTAAGATATACATTCCATATGGACAACTGGGCAAATGACTAGGGCCGCTAGGAATGAACGTCTAGACGGACACCTTAACAAACGCGGTGGGCTAAAACTGGCTCCGTACCATGATAGAATTTAGGATGGGGTAGGGATCATTGGGCTGAGCCATAAGGCACTTAGGTTGAACCACATTAAAAGATTGAATGCAATCGAATACTTAGTTCAACGCAAGAGCTTACGTACTGATTTGTTTTCTCTTCAGGTTTTAATGTGGGATACTTTTCCACAACTGAAAACAACAACAAGCCAGTTGAATCCCATGAAAATAGGGTCTTGGGAGGGTGTGTGTACACTGACATTTCCCCTACTCAAAAGTATAGAGGCTATTTCAAGAGAACCCCGGCTCAAGTTGCACATTTAGAAGGATCGCAGTAGACATATAAAGTAGAGAAAGCACATAAAGCACCAAGCACCCAGAGTAAAAAAACAAACTAAAGTTAACGAAGGAAAAGTACTGCAAGCAAATGGCAGATATCACAAAGCATATATGGCATACAAAACACACAACAACAACAACCCCTAACCCAAGGCACTTGCCCAGCTACTCTAATCCTAGCTCTCCAAACGCTCGTATCTAAGGCCATATCCTCATTAAGGGCATGAAGTCCTAAGTCTTGTTTAATTACCTCCATCCAACTCTTCCTAGGTCTACCCCTTCCCCTACTTCACCCTACCAACGTTAGTTCTTGCATCTCTACACTGGAGCGTCAGCATTCCACCATCTCACATGACCGAACCACTTCAACCTAGCTTCCTGCGACTTATCTTCCACTAGCGTCATGCCTAACTAACCTCGAATAACCACATTCGGAATCCTATCTGGCATCGTCTTCCCACACATCCAACGCAACATCTGCATCTCTGCCATATGCAGACGCACGTGCATCTTCTTAACCGCCCAACACTCCACCCCATCAACATAGCTTGGTCTGATTACGAATCGGTAAAACTTACCTTTCATCCTAGGCAAAATTTTCTATCACAAAACTCCACTTAAACATAAGACTGTAGAAAACAAAAATCATACTCTAATACTCAAACACACAAGCATGGAGAACAAGTTTTTTGCAAAAATGAGGATGTCAATTTTCTAGCTCCTCTTTGGCTTAGTTGGTTTGATAGAAATTTTTCAAATCGCTAAGTCAAGAGTTTGAAGCTTGGTACGGAAGGAGGAGAAGAAAACAATGTGATTGTATATTATTCTCTTGATTGGAATAGATTGTTAAACATTAGTTACTCCTATTCAAAACGAAATTTCTTGAAACTTCACTCTTTTGTCATGAAAACTAGTAAAGAGATCTCAGCTTAGATACTGGCATAAGTTCGATCCACCTAACTATTCTAAAAAAACCAAGATCATAAATCATAAACACGACACATAAGCTCTTCTTTTACATTTCAATAATATAAGGTAATAACCAATGCAGGTTTACTATGCCATTTTGATTTAGTTCATAATTTTAACAATAAAAAATACATAGTTTTAAATAGTGGTAATAGACCAAGTTGAGCTAGTTGTTTTTAACAATGACATTCTAAAACATTTTCACATCTAGATTGATATTTGAGTTAGGCTGGATGAGCGAACCTCAATAAAGCTTCACAAGAATACTGGATTATTAGAGCTCATGACTAAGGAAACATCGTTGAGTGAATAATTGAGACGAACATATCTTGTGTCTAACTCAACTTGAATGTCACTTTTTGTCCATCAAGTTTAGAATAACAATGCATATTAAAACCCTTGTATTTCTTTCAAAAAACCCTACTAAAATATTTATTGAAAAAAGAATAGGGGATATTTCATAAAGCTAATATCTTAAACTTGTCTAACATGATTGCAGAATGCAAACTCATTGTTGTTGATATTATTGCCATCGGGAGACTTTGGGTAATCGGGATTTACTTAGAGGCTAGACATGAAATCTCAATAGACATTGATAAGAGTTAAGAGGTGTGGAGTACACACTCGTTCAATGGTATTATAATTTATAGCACCCCCTACATCATGGGGGTTCAAAGCCCTTGGCAGGGATCCGGGGGCAACGCCCTCGGTAGCATGGTCCAAGGGGTGGCAGCCTCTGGTGGGGGTCCAAGGGGTAGAGGTGCAAAACCCCTAGTTGAAAATTTTAGTTTTGTTAAGTACTGCCTTATAGAAATTTATCAGATTTTGTGACTGTTTTCCGAAAAGGTACACTAAAAACTGAAATATTCGAATACTTAACTTCTCACAACTCTTAACAAATGGTTGGGACGCATCGAATGCAACAGTCCAGTATTCAAATGCTTAACAAGCAATTTTGATGGTTCATCACGAGAGACACATGTGGTCGGAATCTCTCTCTATATATGCATGCAATTGGTGCGCTTCAAATACAGAAAATATCCATTACTCACTGCAAACGCTTTTGTCTTATCTGATTAAAGAATTTTGGAGTTCCACCTAAATCACTTTAATCTAAAAGTGTTATCATGATTCAAAAGTCTATCCGGCTATAATGGTAGTATTTGCCTCATTAGCCATAGCAGGAAAAATGGAGTACCCATAAAAATGAATAAAAAAGTACCGGCCATTACATCAGGACATGTCAAAAAGTTACCTTCAAATCGGCACCAGCACAAAACACCTTCGGAACAGAGCTGCAGATCATTAAAACATTAGCCAAACGCTCTTCGTTTATTCTATCAAACACATGATGTAGTTCTTTTAGCATATCCTTCCCGATCGCATTCTTTCTATCCGGCCTGTCCAACTTAAGCTCCAAAATTCCTACCAATTAACAGCCCTAAATTACTACTCCCTAATTTAGACGTAAATCGCAGTTCATAGTTCATTACCATCAGCGACATTGAGGATTTGTTGAGTAAACTAGTTTTCATAAATAATCTGTACTAAAGAATTTCAAACAAAATGGAAGTTAGCTTCTACGGGCGTTTACCAGAATCGGAGTCCGCGAGTTGTTCTAACTTTACGGATTCAGACGTTAATGGCTCTAGGATGAGAGTGCGCCTGCTCTGGAATTGCCATCTTTGAGCTTGGGAATTGGAATTCAAAGAACTCAGGCGAGAAATTAGCTGAAAAGAATTGTTCAATGATATTTGCTCGAGTGACTTGCCTACCGACCGCAAATGCACGGCCATTTTGAACTCAAGATTCTGCTTCTTCTCATATTTATCCCATTATCCCCAAATCTAATTTATCACATAGAAATTATGAAATAAAAAATTAATTAGCATGTTCATTTATCATCAAAAAATGGTCAAAGTAATACAAGTACAGCCTACTTTATTCAAATTAAGCAACAGAATAATATAATTCAGACAATAAAAATATTTAAATACTCCGGGGTAACTAAATTTTTAAAAAGAAAATAAAATAATTGAATCAAAAGTATAAAAACATAAATTGGGATAAAAAAAATAGTCATTTGAGCGTGTTTGAGAGACCTTATATAATAAATTTGGATAAAAAGTGTTATTGTTAATTCATTATGTGTGGATTTACAAGTTAAAAAAGTTCAAATCGTACATTTATTTTAATAATAATAATAATTTTTATAATAATATTAAATTACTACTAATAATAAAAATAAAATTATAAATGAAATAATAATAAAAATAAAATTATAAATGAAATAATAATAAAAATATGAAAAATGCATGTAAAAACTTTTAAATCATTGTTGAAGAAATCAGAAAATAAATAAAGATATAAAAAAGAAAAAAGACTAAAATAGGAGGAGTAAAACATTGAAAATATACCAAAATAGGAGTTACGTATTTTTATTTCAGAAACAGAAGTTAAATACATATACAGTGTCAATCATGACTATATACATTAGGAAAAAAAGACTAAAGTAGAAATAAAACTTTAAAAATATATCAAAATAGGATTTACATGTTTTTTTCGAAAATAAAAGTCAAAATGTATTTATATTATCAATCATGTCCATTACATTACAAAAAAGTATAGTAAAATGTACATATGCAGTGGCACATTATCACAGTGCGAAGTCCTATTTATGAATCTTAATCTACGAATTAACCCTAATGATAGATATATAAAAACCATGACTCACCCTGATTAATTGGCAGAGAATTCCCAAATTACACGGCTTGGAACTTCGGCGAAGCTCTGAGTTTTCTCGGTGGCAGAAGACGATGAAGATGGAAGAAGAAGCCTTGTTGATGGTGCGGCGAACGAAGGATGTATATATACTTATGTAGTTGGGTTCATAATAGGAATAGGAAAAAGTATGACTCCTTCCATCCGGAAAAAGAACTTTTCGATTTGAATTTTCTTCATTTTTAGTGAGTGCTTAACTAAGGTATGAAATGGCAAAAATAGCCTTAATGAAAAAAGAACAGAACAAGGTATTTCCAAGAAAGGTGGCCAAACCACCACTTAAAGAATTCATCTTCTGGAGTATGCTCTCACAATGATATTTATTTCTTTCCTTATTCGTCCCTACTTCTTAGAGGCCTACGCACATATAGAGTGATGAATAACCTTCACATAAACACCAAAAAACCAAAAAGTTAGACAACACAACAAGGCAGATTTTTGGAGATGCACTAATATCACATTCAAAGCAAAATCCATATGGTTCATACTCAGCTCAATACAGGCAGATCAACAATCTTAATCATCAGGAATCATTAAAGCATAATCACATATCATTAATCTTAACATATCAAGGCTAAATCAATCAACTAGAATCATGACACTCATGAAAGATACTAGGAGATCAAGCTGGAACCAAAAATGGCAGGTTGAACCTCCCTACCACTACAGATATCAAGGTACGCCACGGACTCCCGTACATACTTTTTTGACTCTAGGTCATTGAGTATGCACTCTGATAAGTTCATTGTTTGAACACATTTTATTATCTTTTGATAAATTTATTGATTCTAATTTTAATACTAATTAGAACTTAATTCTGTGTTATTTATTAAATAAGTAATTTAGGACTGATTTGTAGCGATTGATTGATTTTAGGGTCCAATTACAAGTGCAAGGGTTAAATTGTAACTAAATTAAGTAATGGGACCAATTTATAATTTCTAAAAGTGATTAAATTGTTTTTTGTTATCCTGATGCAGCGTTAAAAATGGTGCCGAAAGTCAGACGCAACTTGCGACCATAGCCCGGAGACGGTACTCAGACCGACGTCGAGCTCCACTGCTCCGGTGATGAATCAGCAGCGCGCATCTCTAACCAATGATTTGCGGCGTGCCGGCAGCGGCGAACATCCAGCCGAGTGGCGGTCGAACGACCCAGATTCCAATGAGGGAAGTCCCCATTCCAACCCGACGAATACCAGTGACTCCGGTAGCCCAGCGACCAACCTCTGTCAATTCCGGCGATGTTGACCAGCCGCGTTGCCAAATTCCAGCGAAGAAGCATTGATCGAGCATCAGATTCAATTTGGGCATGAAGTGCCCCTTTTACCCCTGGTCCTATTTCCTTTTTAATTCTCAATTGCTACCCTTATTTGTCATTTTATTTCTAAATCCTCCTACACTATGTATACTCCTCTGTCCCCAATTTGTGAAGGGAGCTCTCCCATTTTCTTTCTTTTCAGTCTTAGATTAGGGTTCATCTTCATCTTTAATATTGCATTTTATTTTAGGAAATTCTAACTTTAGATTTAACACGTGAATGTTTATTTATTTGTTTCTTAATGTTAGCCTTTAATTTCTTCACCTCTCCCATGGGTGATCCGGAGGGTTTGCAAAGTGTCCAACCACACATGACCCCTAAAATTTTAGGGTCCTATATTTTTAAATTCAGCATTAATTTTAAAGCATAAAAATTCTAAAAAAATAAAATAGGGTCCAAAATGTAAATTTTGGACCTTGGCAATATTATTTTTTCGAGACCGACCCTGACCTCTCCCATGCTTTTTCCTTCTATTTCACTCTCTTATTTTTTGTGTATTTTTATTTTAAGCATGCTAGGCTAGTTATTCTAGCCTAGGTTAGGAATAGATTGTTGATTGATACTTGTTGTCATTGGAATGTGGTGAATTTTAGATCTTGATCTAGATTGTTTGAGGATTTTGTGTTTTATTTAGACTTGTATGTTGTTGTTGGCCATGATGACATACTTGGATTCTGGAATGGTCTCTAAATCTCCAAGGAATTGGGATTTAGAATCCTAGCCGTGAGTCTCCCTCTCAAGTCCTACAACGGAAGTGGTGGATACCTGAGGAGCTTGTTTGTCTAGTTTGCGGTTGTCTTGAGAAGAGCAACACAGAAGTCGGTTCTTCTCTAGGAGATTATTTCCTGATTCACTAAAGTGAAATCGAGGTGATTTGCTCGCTCTCTAGTCGATTTTTCTTGTTCCCTAATTCATTGGTTATTCGCATGATTGACATGAAATCTCTAATCTAGACTTGCTTTCCTTTTATTTCTTTCCTTTTCTTTTAGCATTATTCATTGCATTATCTAGTTTACCTTCTCCGTCTCTAGGCGTTGATTCACAATATACAATTTGATATTAGTGTTTAGTTACACTTGACACTTAATTCTTAACCAATAATGTTATCCCTGTGCACTCGACACTCGTACTTCCACCACTATACTCATTACTTTTACTTTTTACACATCAGATATCATTTCATTTTCCATCATCTTTTTTAGCGAGGTTTTTTGGTATGAAATGATGTATCGAAGACTCTCACATCACACTCCCACCTCACATGGCTTAAATCCTATAATAGTCCCATTTGGCGATTCAAGTAATTCATTCAGTTAAAATTGCCTAGGTGGACTAGGTGGCATATTTGTCAATCTCAATTCTTCATTCACAATTTATCACTAATAAGCTCCATTAAGATCATAACATAATTTCATGTGAATCCATCTGATCAAGTATCGGTCTATCAGGAGACTGGAGACCCACGGATTATCGTCATGCATCAAATACAATAGTTTAAAGGGTATAAAAATAGTACGACTTACCTAAAAGTTTGTGACGTTAACGGTAGCTCAGTAACGTTGGCCAATAGTCAGCTACTGCAATCAGATAAGACTCTGGTAGAAGGTTAAAGCCTGGGTTGGAACCTACCGCTACCGGTAGCTGGTACTTATTTACTGTCACATAGTACCAAGCTACCGTCAGCCAGTAGTGACGTACTGTCTCACATGTCTGATCATATCCGGCATTATCAACCTCCCTCCGACGATTGCCAGTGAGGTTTTAAACATCAATTCAAAGTCAGAATATCCAGAATGAATCAACACACATATATAACATCAACCAAGTCCTAAATCATACTCATATGTCAAATTCACAAACTAAAGATTTAAGCATAGATTTTCATGAGTTCAATGATCATGTTCTCAACACGTAATCAATTGATAGAACGTACATAAATGACAAATAATTTTAGAAATTATATCTAACGAGAGATATATGAACCACGACTCACCTCGATCAATATCTAGACAATTAAATAGATCAAATGAATCAAATCCATAACAAGAAGAAGAGGCGGTGAGTGGCGGTGATGAAGAACGATCGATGACGTACGCGCTGTTCCGACAAACTTCCAAGTGGCTATAGTGTTTGATTGGTGACTGGCAACATAAAAATCTCATCCCCTCGCCGATTACGACATTCATGTGTTTTTAATGGTCGAGTACAATATGCGTGGTTATAAAGACGGGGGTTTAAGAGTATTTACAATGATCCCAAATCCGCCCCGCCCCAACTTCTGCCACATCAACATTCCAATAACTTTTCCACCCCGACCCTAAATCCTGTAATGATATGGCCCTGAAAACTCGCCTCTCCATTTTTTTTACATTATTCATCAATTTTAATTACAATTTTTTTTAAAAAATGAAATACATAAAATCAAAATAAAAAATGCTAAGATTGATGTTCTTTATTAAAAACAAGATGGATATAAAAGATGAAATATACCAAAATATGATTAAAAACAATGAAAAACATTTTTAAAAAAAGACAAAATTCTTAAAATTAATGCTACAATTATGAACTGAAGTGAAAGATATGTTGAATTTATTGGTTTGAAAGGAAAAAATTTCTCAGCGGGGTGGATCGCCTGCAGTGGGAGGCCACCGCGAATCTTGCGCGGCTTTGCGTCGTAGATGAGGCGAGCACCACGGCAGAAGAGGTGCAGCACCTGGCGAGCCGTGATTCCTTCTCGGCATTTGTGCGACGCAGCAATTTTTGCTTCGCTGCAAATGCCCCAAGGACGCTGGGTAGATTTGAGAAATTTTAATATATTAATTATTATTTTATTATAAAATCATTTTATTTATTTATTTTACTATAATATTTGTTTTGTTTATAATCTTTTATGTAAAGTTTCAATTTTACGTCTAAATTAATGTGTATTGTGTCATTCGGAAACGAGATGGTACCATGCCATATTAAGAGTAAACCATATCACAATACTTTGACATTTTGAAAATATTTTTACTTATTAATGCCTCATTTGGTGCACTACTCATATGCATTTTTATTCAATAAGAATAGTGTTTTGTCATACTTTTTTGACAAACATATTTTACTTTGATTTTTTAAGATATAAAACTATAGTTTCAGTTGTATCACAGGGTAATAAAGTACTATAAAAATATAAATTTAAAGAAAAGTTCTATGGTGGACTAAGGTTCACCATGGACCTAAATAAACTTTTTTCTTATTACTTAAATAAGAACCTATTTTTTAAATAAAAGAATAAAAAAAATTATGTGAGAAAGTCCACAAAAATGGTATGCACCCAAGGTGCACCATAGAAGCACTAAATTACCAAAGCCGATTGAAATGGTTTAAAAATAAATGAAATGCTTATTCAGAGCTTATGTGTCTTAGCTCTCGTTTTGGGTTTGACTCTACCACAAAGATGTTCAGTCACTGATGAAGTATGGGCAAATTATTTCAATGTAAGTATAATATATGACAAATTATTCAAAAAATGAATCTTTTAAAAGATGTAATGCAATATAAATTTGTTTTTATGTTTTTTATAGGCTCATCCAAAGCATCGCAACAAATTACATTATGGAGCATTTCAAGATTATGAGGACTTCGAAATCACAATTGGTAACGGTGTAGCTGTGGGGAAAAACTCAACTGGGTTAGGTAGTACAACTAATGCAAGAACATTAGGCGCAGGAGAAAGAGAGATATGTGCATATAAATGACCTTGATTATGACTTGGAAAATGAATTCAATTTTGTATACAAACTTTATTTTATAGAAACCAAGCCACCTTAATAATGCCGTGCATAAAACATAATGCGGAATATAAAGTGTAAAATTTTGTAAAATGTATTCACAACTATTTATTAAGCCATTTTAGTACGTCAATTATAAATAAATAATCTAATTAGTAATTACAAAAAGAACATGACCGAACCATTTTAAAGTACATCAACCAAAAAGGAATTCATAAGAAGCAAATGTAATAAAATATTTCCTAATAATGTTCAAACATCCATACCATTAATAAATCAATGTTACCATAATTAAGTAATTACTCAATTAATAAAATATTCAAATTCGTAGGTGTTCTATTTGTAAAAAGGTAAGTAATAATAAAATATTTAAAGTGATAATAAAATATTCAAATGAGTGTTCTAATTGTAAAAAGGTAAGTAATAATAAAATATTCAAACATGATCACACTTACCGGTAATAAATCAATCCAAATTAACCAGTTTATACGATTGGTAATTTATATGAATGGTAATAATTTTATTTAATTATATTTACAGATATAGATGTAATAATATCTAATAACTTATTACATTTAAAAATGGTAATATACATATTTATTTTGAACGGTTAAATTAATATAAACATGTATTTTGGTAATAAAGTATTCACACCCGCCACGTTAAATAAAAAATAAAGTATTCACACACGCCATGTTAAATAAAAAATAAGTACGTATATCACAAAAGGTAATTAAAAATCTAATTACCATAATAAAGTAAGGCTAATAATATATATATATATATATATATATATATATATATATATATATATATATATATATATATATATATATATATATATATATATATATATATATATATATATTAACCTATGCACGAGCTCTAACATATGGTGAATTTCCACAAAAATTTGTTTGGAAGTCAGATAAGAGACAATATGAACCTCGAAAGAGAGGTTTTGCGATACGACGTTTGAGTTATATTCCTCCAGGTACAGGTGAACCGTACTACCTGAGATGTCTTCTAAACATAGTGCGTGGTGCTACCTGCTACGATGATATCAAAACTGTAAATGTCATTGTTCATGAATCATACCGTGATGCATGTTATGCATTGGGATTGCTTGACGATGATAGAGAATATCTGGACGCATTCGTGGAGGCAAGTCACTGGGCTTCTGCTATGCAGCTAAGGAATTTATTTGCAACACTATTGACAACAGAATCAATATCCAGGCCAAGGCATGTGTGGGAGCAATGTTGGCAGTATATGGGAGATGATGTTTTGTACCGGAAACGTCGTTTGTTGGATCATGAAGGTATTTTTTTCTAATATTATAATGATTTGAAATAAAAACAATATGACTAACACTTTACAAATTTTAATTAGGTCTAATTCTTACTAACGATGAGACTCAAAACCATATTCTATGTGATCTCGAAGACTTGCTGCGGAGTCGTGGTAAGAGCCTTCGTGATTACATAGATATGCCTCAAGCGAACCTCCAGAGAATTTGGACTTCAGCCAATCGATTGATTTTTGATGAAATGCAATACGATCGAATAGCATTGGCAAGTGAGCACACCAGACTATTGCGTTCACTAAACGATGAACAACGTGCAGCGTATGAAGCAGTAATGCAATCTGTTCAAACAAATGATGGCAAAGTTTTCTTTTTGTACGGATATGGAGGCACTGGCAAGACATATGTTAGGAGAACATTATTCGCTGCAATACGATGTCGAGGTGATATAGTACTGAATGTTGCGTCAAGTGAAATAGCATCGTTATTGTTGCCAGATGGTAGAACGGCTCACTCGCGTTTTAAACTCCCATTGATTCCAGATGAAAACTCTACTTGCAACATAAAGCAAGGCTCTCCGCTAGCACAACTCTTGGTGAAAGCAAAATTAATCATTTGGGATGAAGCCCCTATGACACACAAGTATTGCTTCGAAGCTTTGGATAGAAGTTTGCGTGATATTCTACGCTTTTCTAATCCAATGAGTGAACAACAAACTTTCGGAGGAAAAACAATTGTCTTTGGTGGAGATTTTCGTTAAATTTTGCCAGTTATTCCAAAAGGAACGAGACAGGACATCTGTAACGCCCCAAAATTAGGCCCAAAAGAATTAATTAATTTAAATATTAATTAATGACTGAGATAGACCCGAACACTGAAAAATAAAAGTTTTCAGAAAAATATTTTAATTATATCAAAATTTTAGTTTTGAGAGTCTGATTCCAAATATGCGATCCGTTTTTAATTTGGAATAGTTTGGGCGAAAAAGCACGTACCGTTTTAGCCAGTTTATCAGTTACGGAGTAGGAGAATATTTTAAAATCCCCAAATCTTCCAATCGCGTTGAGATATCTTCCAATCCCTTCATATCCTTAATCAAGCCACCCTAGGAACCCCACTAACATATACCTCCAAACTACTTTTCCTATAATATCACCATACCACCACCACCATCATCCTCACACATTATCATCATCATCCATCAATCCCTTTTCATATCTCTCTGTCGGCAGTCCAGCAAGGGGAGAAGAACCAGTTTCATCCATCTCCATTGTTGTGCCAAAGAAGAAGGAGCAAGAAGAAGTATAAAAAGTTCCAAAATCCAGAGACCAAAACGTAGCAACAACTTCTTCGTAAATCCTGTAAATTTCTATCCATTTTTTGAATTATTTATTAAACCAAAATCGTAGCCCCGGACGTTACGAATTCAACCCAACAAACGGTTTGTGATTTCGTTAAGTAACGAAGGAGATATGCCCAAAATACTCGGACTGCACCAGTGGTGGCAAGCTCCTCGGGTTGGCTATGTTTCTTCATCTTTTTCACATCGTTTCTTTCCAAATGCTTACCGTCAACTCTCTCGTGGTTATTAGGAACTTTCGGAGGTTATTTCCAAGAAGATTGGGCGTCGGAAGTTCGAAGTTGATAGGGGTGACCGTATGTTGAACGTTCGTTGAGGAGTATTATTATCTTTCTATCATTCCGTCCTCTACGATATCAAGGCGAGTACATTGCACCATAGTAACGCAATCCTTGGTTGAATATCAAACTAGATATATCGTTAGGATTGATTGCCATATTATAAGTCATCTATATTTTAAGATCAAATTCATCGAACTCACAAAGTTAAAAATATGTTTTTTTCTTGATAGTCTTCCATACATGAAGATATAAGTGTTAGAAATATTTCAAATACATAGGTAGGTTAATCATAGGTGTTAAAATGACTTAAATGTTTCTAGAATAGTAGATTAAGACACCCATTGATGAGTATAAATTTTGTACAGTCCTTTCCACTTGTATTTGTATTCATACCAAGCCTCTCCACTATAAATAGAGGTCTAACCCTTGCATTAAAATCACCATTAAGAATAAGAAGAAGAATTAATAATTAATAAAGAGAAGAAATCAGAAATATATTAAATCTATTCTCTTAATCTCTGAGTAGTTTTTCTCTCATTTTACAACACGTTATCAGCACGAGTTTGCTCAAAATCCCAGAAACCTTGTTCTTCTCAGAAGATATATTTATTTTATTTTCTTCATAAACAAACTAAAATATTTTCTTAAACAATTCATTGTCATAGAACAAAATAAATCAACATTAAAATATCGGAGGTTTTCTCTCTCTAACCATGAGGAAGAGAGGACGACCTCCAAAAATCGATGACAAATCAACAAGAATGGATAACTCCACGACGGAGGAACGGCCAGAGAAGGAGATTCCTTCTGAGATCACACCGGAACAGAAAAAAGAAGGTGAGGAATCTGGATTTGATGGAACCCTAGATCCTGATCAAAATTTGATAAATGCCAACAAAATTGTGACGGAACAACCCAAAAGCTATGCGGAAGTAGTAGGCGTACAGGAGGAGCTGAATCTAGATTTGAAATACATACCTGCGGAGATAATTGATGGCACACCTATTGCTAGATTTTCAACGGACGATGTCATTGAGCCAGGTGAGTACTGGGAATCTGCCCTTATCTGCTGCGTATTGGGAGCAAACCCCCCATTAGAAGTAATCAAAGGCTTTCTTGCTCGAATCTGGAAACTATATTAAATAGATGATATATCCTTCCTCAAAGAGAGTCAATTCATTGTGAGATTTAAGAAGAAGGAGGACAGAGATGAAATAGTAAAGAGGAAATACTACTATATGGATAATAAGCCAGTTTATGTCCAACAATGGTATCCTGGGTGCAAGGTGGATATAATGAACAGGAAGGATATCCCGATATGGATTCAGTTCCCTGACCTAGAGATGAAATACTGGAGCCTAACTGGGTTAAGCAGGCTTGGAAGCACAATTGGTAAACCTATTAAAAGAGATGGAGCTACTGCCTCAAGGAGGAAATGGGCCTATGCGAGGATAATGATTGAGGTTCAAATAAATCAAACGTTCCCTGACCAGATTAACTTTATCAATGAAGAAGGAAGGATCATCACACAAACTGTCACTTATGAATGGGAACCAACTATTTGTTCACATTGTGACAGGATAGGGCACAAACTAGAGAAATGCAGGAGGAAAACTGCCCTAAAGGAAGCCAACATTACTAAAAAGATGGTATGGAAACCCAAAGCATATCCTAAGGAAACTGAGGGGAAGGATGCTGAGAACCATAGCCATAAGGAGGATAGAGAAGAGCCCGAAACCCCCACCTCTCCTAAATCGGATGGAAAAAACAATGCAGATGAATCAGAAGAGTTAAAGGATGAAGGTTTTACTGAAGTCTCTAAAAAAAAGGCTGCCAGGAGGAGATCCCTGGAAGGAGGGCAATGTGATTTTATTGGGCTCATACACAAAGATTTAAGTCTAGCCCCATATGAGGGACACTACCCCTTCTTGCTATGATAGGATGTTGGAACATCAGAGGCCTAAACAGCCCGAATAAACAGCTTGAAGTGGTCAACTTCATAAATAAGAATAATCTAGCCATAGTTGGTTTGTTGGAAACTAAGGTGAGAGACAGTAACTACAAAATAATTGAAGATAGACTGGTTAAAGGATGGAGTTCAGTAATTAATAATAATGCCCACCCGTTGGGTAGAATTTGGGTAATTTGGAACCAAAACAGAATAAACCTAAAGATATTGGATATCTCAGAACAAGCTATACACTGCCAGGGGAAGTTCATTGGGGATGACAGAGTCTTTTTCATAACATTTATCTATGCTCACAATGACCCAAAAAAGAGGAAAAATTTGTGGGAGTTCCTGCAGAAATCTGTTACCACTTCAGCTTGGTGTGTTCTTGGTGACTTTAACACAGTTCTCCATTTGGATGAAAGAATAGGTGGTAATGCTGTTAGCAGGGAAGAGTTACAAGAATTCCAAGATTGTCTGAATCACTGTGGACTGGATGACCTGCCTTTCGAAGGACCTAAGCTCACCTGGACCAACAATCAGGGTATTGGGAAAAGAATATACTCTAAGCTTGATAGAGTATTAGGGAATATGGACTGGTTAATAAAGTTTGATATGAAGGTACAATTCTTTGAGGGGGGAATCTCTGACCATTCTCCAATGGTACTTAAATTCATCAATCAGAGAAAGCCATCCCACAGTTTCAAATTCTGTGAAATGTGGACACTAGATCCTGCCTTCCCTAGGATTGTAGCTGAGGTTTGGGATAAGGAACATGGTGGCCATTCTATGTATCAAATCATCCAAAAACTGAAGCAACTAAAGGATCCGTTGAGGCAACTAAACAGGAGGAAATACAAGTCTTTGGATAATCAAATAGATGAACTTAGATCAAAGTTACATACTCTCCAAGAAAGACTGAAGCAGAATGATTCCAACACTAAAGACCTGGAGATGGAAAAGGATCTAAAGAAAGAACTACATAATATGTTGAGAGCCAATTTCCTCATGAAAACCCAACAATCCAAGGTCGATTGGATATCAATGGGAGATCAAAATACTAAACTATTCTATGCTTGGATCAAGAAAAGGAAAATGCAGAACCATATATCCTCCATTGCCAATGCAGAAGGTGCTATTAAGGAAGGAAAGGAAGAAGTAGCAAAGGTTTTGGTTGACTATTTTCAAAAACAACTAGGACAAAAAGAGTATACAGATGACATTAATAAGGACATTATGAATATGGGGAACTGTCTCTCTATTGAACAGCAAATGAAGTTAATAAACCCAGTCACTGCTGAAGAAGTAAAGAATTGTTTATTTGATATCCCAAATCACAAAAGTCCAGGGCCAGAT